TATCTTCTTATTTATGTAATATATGCATTCTAGATGGTTCAAGAGGTTTATCCTCAAAAACAGAAATTATAATTGGAGAAGAGAGTGAAGAGAAACCTCCACTTTTAGCTCCATCTATTTTCAAAGTGCTTGAAATTGTGAAAAACAAGAATTGATTCATGTGTTACTCTTACAATTTTTAATGTTATTTATCTTTAAAAAAAAATAGTGGAGTGGGGAATGGTGGGGGGGCATATGGAAAACAGTTTGTCCTTACAGATGTTTCCACAACTGTTTCTGGCTTTAGGTCACATTTTCCCTCTTTAAAAAGTCGATCCAAATATCTGTTAAACTCAACCTCCTAAACTTTCCAGGATCGTTTTCAGCTCATAGAAAAGGCTTTAACCTTGAACCTCTTTAGCTTTGGCCCCAGTATGTTTATGACTATTTTTAAATAACCAGATTTTTGGTTGCTGTTGAAAGACATTTAGAAGATCATTTATAAGAGGAGAAACTTAAACTCTGGGCCTTGAATCTGGACTTAAGAAGACCTGGCTCTGCATTCTTAGGCAGTTGTAGTTGTTGGGTCAGTTACTAGTTGCAAATGTCTCCAGCTCAAACAGCAGGAGTGAATGCAGAGGAAATACGGAGGCTGAACATGGAATGAGAGAGAGCCTTCCTGCTCCAGTGCCTCCTGCAGATTCCTTGGGGTCCCTTAGATCTTTGCTCAAGAAGGACAAAGGATGCATCAATACCCAGAGGGACAAATATATATGTACGTCTATTGCAAAATACAAGGAACTGAAAGCTGATGGCCAAAACTATTCTTACCACTGTGATGAGTGCCAAGCTCCCTCCGCCCTCCTGGCTCCCTTATATTTTTTCCAGCCCTGTACACCATCAACACCATCAGGCAGGGCTCCCAAAGTGGAGCACTCTTGGAAGACACGGCAGCCCTTTGGGCCCCCAGATGCTTCCATTTCCCTTTCATGGGCATTTCAACATCTTCAGTGAGGAAAGGGAGCCAGGAAGCAATATGAGAGCTAAACACAAGCGCATTCAAAGGCCTGGTTGCCTGTTCCTTGGACAATAAAGCTGCTCTGGAAAAGCCTTTCTGGCCTATTTCAATGGAATAAATAAATAAAATAAATCAGTGGCACCCTTAAGGGAAAAAGGGTAAAATTATGCTTTTACATGTAGGGATATCAATACAGACATATATTTAGATACATGTGTTATATATTTTAGGCATCCATAGTGAGCACAGACATGAATGATGCCAATACAGATGACCAAGCACTAACAAAGGGGCTATATTTGGGGCTTCTGCAATTATGATAACTAGATAGTTGACCAAAAGGCAATAGGGTGGTAAAGGCACAGAAATGAGCATGGAAAAATGCACTGGGGTTAATTCTACCTCTTGACATCATTATTGAAACAGAGCTAGTTGTCTCTTGGTCACTAGCAACAAGGAGGTTAACATATATCAAGCGATAATGAAAGGTAAGTTCTAGGTTAGCATGAAGATGGAGCCACCACCTGCCACTTCCGCTGGATTCAGAGTTGGACAAAGACACATATTCTGAGCCTGCAAGTTTAGAGAGGCAGAAATTGGAGTGTCCATGTGCAAAATGGAGTGAACCCTCCAACTTAAATAGCAGTAATTGTTTAGATTAGTATGGGAAAACGTGAGATAAAACCTGGACAAAATGACCTCCTGTGTATGACCATTATTTATCTGAAATAAGTGAAAATAAAAGGTAGGGAGGGTTTTGTCCCCTTTAGAAACTTAGCAAAGCTCCAAGATCTCTCTTTAGCCATTCACAGGTAAGCTGTACTCCAAATATCAACTGTTTCCTAATCACCAAACTGAAATGGATGAAGTTGAAAATTCCCTGCTATCATTCAGTCAGTCAATTACTATTTATTGGTGCCAACTTTGGGCTCGGCAAAGGATAAGGAATGAGGAACAAAACCAGCTGAATGTTGTCGCCACGAAGCTCACAGTCTGGCCCTCCTGTTCTAGACGGCCCCGTCAGCAGCCTTGGTTACGGTGAGTTGATAGAACAGAGAAAAAACTCTATGAAGCTTACAGTCACATAGACCCATCTCCAAAGAACACGCCACAGCTCATTGGTTGTATTCTAAGTCTAGGTCTAAGCTCCTGGTTTGGAATTTAGAGGCCACCTTCCCATGGAAGCGAGGCCATCAATAATGTTTGGGTTCTCAGGTCAATCCATAAAGCTGGAGTGGTCCTGCAGTCAGCTGCAGTGTAATTTTTAAGAGGTTCCCGGTTGGTGTCACCTTAGGTGCTTCAACAGTACTAAATTGTAGTTTATAATCACAGATTGAAGCAGTCAATGCTTAAGACTGAAGTGTGCGTCGCCGGGGATGGGTAAAAAGCTGTGAATGCCTATGGGTGGGCTGGCAGCCCTCTTTGGTCTCAGCCTGCCTCCCGGACAGGGAATATGAATGGGAGGCAGAATCTCCCAAAGGTGCTTATGAGGGCGAGAATTACTTTGGAATAGCTCACTCACACGTGAGCCAGTGGCCTCTCACATGGAACCAAGCCGTTTCATACCTTGTTACTCAGAATTCACAGCTGACAGGTTTCCTAGTTGTTTCAGGAAGTATAACAGTGTTTTCATGTATTCTTCCCTTTTTCAGACATACATTTTTTCAGCAGTAATCGCAGCCCTAATAGCATTTAAAGTACATTAACTTACATGAATGTTTAAACACCACTTTTTATGCAGTTTCATTTGCCCTCATGGCATGAGCCTCATCTACTAGATCCCCCCAAATTATCAACTCAGCATCTGACTAGTAAAACAATAACCTCAATGCAGGTCTGTTTTGTTCAAACCAAGGCACGAATAGACGTGTAGCTAAAAATAGAAAAAGTAGTTATTCTAAACAAGAATGTGAGTCTCCCAGACAAATTTTTTAAAACCATTTAGTTTATGTTTAGAAATAAGAGAGTGAAGCACACTGCCTGAAGGAAGTCATTTACTGGCTCTCTGACAAGGTTAAGCAAAATCTTTCTTACAATTCATTAAGAATACCCTTAGGTTACATGTGGAAATTGTAGGTGCTTTAGTGGTAATCACCCCAAATTATCCAAATAAAATACCATTTCAGTCTTAGTGCCAGAGTCTCTGTATGAACTCGGTCTTCTCTGGACCGAATTCTCCTCCATCGCCCAGCTACAAAGAATACGCTAACTTTCACAGATCATTCTGTCAGTCATCTTCCTAACACGAAGATGGGGCGGGAGGGGTTCTCAAAGCCTTTGCTGAACTCCCAGGACCTGGACATATCTCTTCCAGAAGAGCCCAGGAGAGGGAAAGATCTCAAGTCAAACTTTCAAGGTGGGAAAGGGATAGAGCTAGAATCTGGCTCTCTCTGATAAAAAAAAAAACACCTATGCTTGAAGACATCCATTCCAAGTGCCTCTAAGGAAAGGAAGCCCCTGATCAGAATGAGGAAAGCAAATGCCAGAGCAGGTGGCCCAAATGCAGGGAGCAGAAGCCTGGCCTGGGCCTGGGTGCCAGCTGCACATGGGGACCCAGGAAGGTCTGCGAAGCAATGTGTGAGCTTGGTTTGCAATGCCTCTCTGGCGTCCTGTCACACTCAGAAAGAGATCTGGTAGGCCACCCTTATCCCATGGAACAATGATTCTCCAAGGCTGCTCGGGCGACAGCAGCATCCGCGTCCCTTGCAAACTGCTAGCAATGCCCATGTTTAGGTCCACTGCAGACCTGTTAGATCAGAAACTCTCGAGGTGGCCCAGAAATCTGTTTTCACAGCCCTCCGGGAGTTTCTGAGGCAAAGTCCAGCTTACGAACCACCACCACAGGATTAATTAAAATCACTGCAGTATAGTTCCTAACCCAAGACTTAGTTATAATTGGAGAAAGAGAGATCTTTCCTCCTCCAAAGGCAACGTCAAAGAGGAGACAGGAGGAGGCTTAGGGGGTTAAGCCCCAGGTTACCACTACTCCTCCCCTTCACCTTGGGTTTAGGAATCTTGGTGACAGGCACCAACAAAAGGAGAGGAGAAAAGCTCAGAAACAGATCTGATCCACCCCAGATCCCAGTGTATGCTGGGCAACTTCCTGCTACTTAAACATTCCCCTCCAAGTAAACAAGCCACATCAATAGTTATTGTAATAAAGCACACAGGTCAAGAAAACTCACCAGACCTTCTCGCCAATGCAGCAAAGACACCACTAAACCTTCCTCACAGCTTTTCCAAGCTAGTGGCTATTTATAAGAGACCACGCAAAATTCAACAATAACATATTAGTCAATAAGCAAGTTAAAACTTCAGAGCAACTGCTCTTAAACCACTAAAACTCTTGGCTATCACAGGAACATTTCAGCAAGTTTTCCCCCTAAAATTAATGTTCAGTCCTTTAAGAGACCAGTGATCTATTCTTGGCAACATAGTTCCTAATTTTTAGTCACCCACTCAGAATTTTTCCACTTCAAAATAGAAGTCACTCATTCACAGGGCGTCGATGTACCACCAAATGGCTGTTATTTTGCTTCCCAATGATGTTCAAATTTCAAAAGATGAGAATCTGAAAAAGCAGTAGCAACACCAAAAGCACACCACGGAATATCGGGAAGTCAAAACAAACAGCAGAAAGGACCTTTCTGCACAAAACTCATGTGTCCGTAACTAGCCTACTGCCACCGAACCAAGCCTGCCTTCTGAAGCAAAAGGGAAATTGGGCACTATGTGCCTATATTATTATTAGTCATGCGATACTCAAGAAACCAGCTCTGTGTCTTCTGGGACAAACGTCCTCATTGGAAAGTAGGTAGGGCTGAGTGATCAATATTATTTTGCTCTGTCTTGGTTTATAGTATCATATCCTTGTTGCTCTTTTTTCAGCCTGAAAACCTAGTGATGGTAAATCTAGCTGCTTCCTTCTTTAGTGGTAATTAGCATTAGTCATAAGCCAAGAATGATTCCACATAAGAAGTAAAATAAACACAACCCTTCTTACCTTTCATGCCAAACTTGGAGTGTCTTGCCAACTTCAGCAGAAACAGCATTACCAGCAGACAAAATCCCACTACAGATGCAATTACCACCACAGCATAAACCTAGAGAAAGGAGGGGAGGGCAGTTATGGTGGTGGAGATGGAGGAACATGGATGGGTTTGGAATTTATAAGGAGGCAGAGCTCACAGGACATGCATCTGGGCACACACGACAAGTGAAGAAAAAAAATGGAGGAAGCTTGCTGGGCAGCTGACAGACCACCTTGCCACAGAGCCCTGTGACCCTGGGGCTTTCACAGGCCCCTTTCAGTGTCTCCTCACTGTGCAATGAATCTACCACCTACACAGTTTGGCACTGTGTTTCCAAACCTCATCATCTGGCACAACCAACTTCTCCAACCTTGCCTCTAACTGCCGCCCTTCACATGCCTTACCTCCCAATCAACACTGTTTTCCAGTCTGCAGGTTCTTGTTCACAACCCCCAAATCCCTTCTCCTTCTGTTCCTCTCTGTCCAAATCCCAGGCACCCTGCACAGGCCATGGAAAATGCCACTTGTCCCGCAAAGGCTCCTCTGGCTCTCCCAGCAGGAAGGAACAGCACACCTGCCCCTCTGTTTCTAATTCTCGAACCACACTGCTCCACCTCTATTTGTATCAGGTGCTAGTATTCACGTCTCAGGCCACTCACTAAACTCTAAGCTCCAAAAGGAACAGACCTGCATTTCATTCATGTTTTTATACCCTCCCATGTTATATCCTTACATGTGGTGGGCACTGAAATTTTTATTAAAATATTTAAGAACACAGGTGTGAAGGTGTAGAAGACAAATAATTATTCATGTATTTCATTTTAGATGAATTTTTGAAAAAATACAAAGTAAATACAATATGCTAGCTGCCTCCAACTTGTAAGCATCCAAAGTGCTCAGAACCAACCTAGGAAACAACTATTTATCCCACTCACCGAGAGATGCTCCCGACCACTTTTGTCAGCAACATCTGTAGAAGGAATGTCGTTACTTCTGTTTGTGGTGTCCCCGATGTCATTCGTTGTAGTCCCATAATCTTAAAGTGCAGAAAAGGGAAAGAGAAGGAACCATGAAGTTGTCATTAGGCTGCCAACAAATGAGAGGCCACAGTGTGACCCAGAACAAAGCCAGACAGTTCACAAGATGCCAAGCCACTGCCAGCCTGGCTAGGGAGGAGCAGGGCCTGGGCATTGGGTTAAATCCATTGTAGCACTGGGACTGTGCAACACCAACATTGTACTAAACCCAGATCTCTACATTCTTGTTTTGGCGACCAAATTCTAAACCTGGTTTAGGGTTTTTCTTTGCACATAAGAATATATCCCTTTTCTGGTGAAATATTTAAATATGAAAGAGAATTAATTATCTAAAAGACAGATTTATAGACCTGGAAGGGTCTTTAGAGTTTGAGCCTAACCATGAGTTTTGCAAATGAAGAATGTTGATTGACTAGTCTAAAGTCAACTGGCAAGAAGATGGCAGAGCCTAGACCTGAAGCAGACTGGAAATCAGCAGCACCAAGCCCAGGACACAGGCATCCTATCTGTGTAAGAGGCAGCCACTCAAGATGAAATGTGGAATCAACACTGATAGGGCACTTGGGTACACACATGGACTTTTTTGAAGAGTTACGAGTCATTAATATTTCAGTTTCAGAATTAATAGACAAGGAATTGCTCCAACACAATCTTTAGAACTGCAAGGATACGTTCTCTTATCACCATGTCTCAAATGTAGTTGTCATCTTCTGAATCAATTTTAGAAAATTAATGATGATTTTTGTGTGTGTGAGCCAAGTTTTTATTAGTAATATTACATATAAAAGTTATAAAAAATTTGGTAAACATAATGCAGACAATGTTCTATATAAATGTTTTGTATTTTTATTCTAAATAGATATGGTGCCTTCAATTTGCATCCTGAACAAACAATCTCATTAAGTCTTCCCCAGCTAAACTCTCCATAGAATTTTCAAACAAGCCTTGGGGTAATCAATTTAAATTATATTTTTATTAGTAGAGTGTTCCTTTGAATTTGAATGAAAGTAGCAGGAAAAGCATCTACTTTCTGTTCACTGTTTTGTTATTGACTCCAAAACTACATTCTCACCATTTCCATAGTTAATATATTAAAACTTAATTTCAAACACTAAGAGAGATCATTTACTTATTTTTCCTCTTCATATCATACCCAGCCACTCATGCAAAATTAAATCATTAAAGTATCTATAGTTTAATGTCATGACATTTCGACCCAAAGACCCAAAGTAGTATCTGAGGCCAGTGGAAAGATGATATTAAGTCCTGAAATTACTGGAAAGGAGTCCAAACCATAATTTTAAAATGTTGCATCACAATGAAAACATATTTCACTGTGATATAATTTGAGGTACTCTTCCTTTAAACCATATCAAGACAAATAAAAACAAAAATATATAAATCACAAACACAAAATCATCCAAATCACAACATGAAGGAATTATAGCTTAACATGTATAAAGCAGGTAAAGACAGTATAATTCCTTAGTTAAAATTAGCTCACAGAATCACTTATAGAAAAAACAAAATGTCACTGTGTATATAAAAATATAAAATGAAAGAATAAAGTATTTTATAAAATAAATATATAAATATGATATTTTAGCCCAGCCAGCCATGGCTCAGCGGTTGAGCGTCAACCTGGGATCCAGGCGATCGGGGTTCGATTCCTGGTCAGGGCACATGCCCAGGTTGTCGGCTAGATCCCCAGTCGGGGGCGTGCAGGAGGCAACTGATCAATGACTCTCTCATCATTGACATTTCTATCTCTCTCACCCTCTCCTTTCCTCTCTCTGAAATCAATAAAGATATATATTTTTTAAATGATATTTTAATCACTCTAACTTTAAACCAATGGTAAATTTTAAGCCAATTCTTGAAATGTAGNTATTTTAATCACTCTAACTTTAAATCAATGGTAAATTTTAAGCCAATTCTTGAAATGTAGCCTGCCACTTCTCCAAACAGAGGCCTCCTGGTCATGAAGGTGGTTTGAGAACCTGTTAAAGGTGGATTTTCACACCTAGAAAAACATTCCTGGCGTTTTATTAAAATAGCAAAGGACAGAGGAGATGTGCAGTTAAAAGTTAATATAGTGGACCTTTTCGTTCTCCCCTTCCACATTCCTAAAAGAGCCCCATTTTATTCAAGGGGTTCAAGTACATCCTCCAGGGAAGCTAATCTAAACTCCAGGGGTGGTTCTAGTGAGTCAAGGGTTAATCCATCCTGCTTATCAGTAATGGAGGCAAGAATGGATCATGACCCAACTGGGGGCTGAATTCGATACAAGAAGGGCCAGATGGAGGTTTCTGGAAAAATTACCTTCTTCTGGAACTCTTTCAGAAACTCCCCCCTTTCTCCATCAATGTAAGTGACCGTAGCCCCTCTGTTGGCCTCATCTAATAACCCATGGGGGTGGGAGGGCCATCAGTGAAGGCAGAACAATGGGCAGAGGAGAGTAGAGATGAAAAAAACTTGAGTCCCTGATGACATGATTGAGCTGCTGGTTTAATCTGCCCTAAAGCATGCCGTACCTTGGAGGATCCTCTCCGTGAGCCAAACTTCTTTATTATATAAGAAATACAATTTTGATTTGGGTTTACTGTCATAACTAGAAACTGATACACCACCCTTTTCTTGGTAGCCATGGCTTTTAAACAGGTAATTAGTTCCCAATTACGGAAACAGATTGTTACAGCAGAATGGATTTACTACTTCCAAGAACAGAGCATGAGAAGAGAAAATGCTATTTACAGGCACTGTAAATATCAAGGGAAAATAGCTATCAATATTGAATGATTTTTGCCCAGCCAGAGTGGCTCAGTTGGTTTAGCATCATCCTGTGCACCAAAGGGTTGTCGGTTCGATTACCGATCAGGGCACATGCCTGGGTTGCAGGTTAGATCCAGCACATAAGGGAGGCAACCAATCAGTGTTTCTCTCCCTCTCTCTCACTTCCTCTCGCTAAGCATTTCCTTGGGTGAGGAGATATAATGATTTTTTTGGAAATATTATTTTGACCTATGAAGTGCTTGAAGTGTATATTTAACTGAGCTTAAAGGTTCTCCTTTTTAGCTGATGCATTTCATGCCAGACAAACATTTTGAAAAAATACAAAATAAAGATGTGATAGCTACCTTCATAAATTACCTCGGGATAATTTGGATCTGCACCTAAAAAGCAAAACAAAGCAAAGATTTTTAAGTATGCATTCAGAGTCTAAAAAAAAAATACTTATTCTAGCTACAATGAGCTAAATATATAATTGAAGATTTTATGACTAAATAGATTGTTTTATAGGACAGGTAAATAATACCTGAAATTCTCAGTTTGCTTCATGTTAACTCTGTTCCTCTCCCCAGTCCCACAACCTCCACCCCTCTAAAAAAGAAAAATCACAAATCCCTTTAGCTGGAAAAACTTCAGCAATCAATGAGTTATGAGCCCCCCTTTTTTTTTTACTGTTTCTATTATACAGTTGACCATTTTAAGTGCAATTTTGGTATTTATGTCCCAGAGACAGACCATTTCTATACCACTTTTGTTATTATAGGATGGTGTGAGGGTTCCTTTCAAATTATGTCTTTGACAGGTCCATTTGCACTCATGAACACATTATTAAATGGTCCATATAACAATATCTAAAGCACAGTTTTGCTCTCTATTTGGTCTTCAAGAGGTTGCCAAGGCTGAATAAACCCTTTTTTTTTTTGACCCTGACACACACAAATAAATGTACTTTCTCTATTGAAATTGGTTATGTATAAGAGATTATAAATTAACATATCAAAGAGAATGCAAAAGTATACCCACTTAATTTTCTTTGGATGACTCTGTATTCACCAAGATGATCAGAATATTTGGTTTTAAAATATTCCCATGATAATTTGCAAAAACATTTTTCAATCTTTTTAAAAGTCACTGTCAACAAGAACTGGTGACAAAAATATTTCCTACTTATTTTCCATTCAGAACAAAAGGGTCTCCATATGAAAGCCTACTTGGAAATAAACTTAGAATTTGATATAGCATTTAAGTGTTTACAAAATGAATTTCCAAAGCTACTTCCTTTGCTTTTAGTCTTCACTTGCCATGTGAAAAAGTAAAACTGGTAAACCATAAGCTTACTCAGTTCTCATTTCACTTCTGAACTTTAGCAGAAAAATATTATTTAAAATAAAGTGACACGAGCCAGTTTTCTGTTCAAGTGCTCCCTAGTTGAATAATTAAGGTTAGCCTAAATGAAGAACCAAATGGAAGTGACCCTAATGTTTAAATTAAAATTTTAACACAGTTCAACTAAAAGAATATCTATTTTAGCAGGAGAAAAAGTAAGTAGATGATTGTGTGCTTTGATTCGTGGATGTTACGTACTGCTGCGCAGTCCATGCTTTGCACAGCTCTAGGGGGCACCATTCAGACTAGTCTATGTGAAAGGCACCACCTGAAATTGTGCAGTGCATGCCTGTGCAGCCACATGAGATGGCCCTGGGTCAATTCATGCAAAATCACTGTTTCCAGAAATTTTCTATTGTATTTTGAGTTTTATTATCCGAAGCACCTTTTCTAAGTTTTGAGTTACAATATGTCAATATGTATTGTCATAATTATTTGTAGCTGATGTGATCTTCCAGAGAAGGGCCTTGAAGGCTACCCTGCAGTTTGAGAGGTAATTCGATGAATAAAGCAGCAGGAAATCCCAGTGGCAGCCCCGGTAATGTCATTTGCCGGGCACCTACCCATCTGCTGAAGTCCTTTCCCTTTGCTAAGTCCCTGTACCAAATGGTGTCTCCTCACTGTGAGGATTTCCTACCCCTGCTGAAGGAAAAGTCCTATAGGCCCAAGTCAGCAAGTCATTCTTCGAACTTCTCAGGAATCTATTACTTTAAAGAATCCCACGCTGGTCCCCTTCTCCATTGTACCCTCGATGCACAGTCGGAATCTGCAAGTGTACCTGCCGCCAGAGTCCACTCTTCCCTTCCAGACCTCACTCTAGGTGCCCAAGACCCAGAATTCCCTCCCACAGGCTCCAAACACATGTCGTAGGGTTGGCCAGCCTTTCCCTTACACCTATCAACCCACGGGTGGCCACACCACCAGTATGAGCACTCTGTGACCGAAGACCCAAGAGAGAGGTGAGGACTGAGCCAGGACAGATGAGCTGGGGTGACCAAATGCTCACTCATTACTTTTCATATATGTTTCTCTGAATAGTTGGAGGCACGGGGCAGGGTCCCTGGATGGGGACAAGCTCTACCAAATCCACTATGTTCCAGCATGGAGCTCCAAGAGTCTGACAATCTGACCCTCAAACTCAGCCTTCCAGGTCATTACAAACATATTTGTAGGTGGATAGCACCTATTTTATTTAATAACTCATTAACTTGATTTACATTTTTTAAGTATTTGGATATAAACATGAGGACCTCCTTTTGTACTAGGGTGACCCACCATCCTGGGTTGCAGGAGACCAAGGGGGTTCCTGAGACACTGAACCTAAAGTTTTAAAACTGGGTTTGTTCCAGGCAAATCCTTGCAGTCTGTCCAGGAATGAGGGCTTTTCCCAGGCATAGGACTGTTAGTGCTAAAACTGGGACTAGTCAGTCACCTTTATCTGTTTTCATGCCCTCAGAGACCCCACACTCAGCTACCAGCCACTTTTGCAGATACAATTCCATAAGAAAGTAGAAAGACACAGGATTTGGAGCCAGGGTTATCTAAGCCACACATAGACAAAGCCTCAGTGAGAATGACTGACAGGTGCAATCAGCCTCATCACAGGCAGGGAACACCCAAACACATTCCTCACACAAAGCTCCCAGGAAAATAAAAAACACCGAATCGATTCAATGCAGCAAGTGTCAGGCACAGAACAGTGGAATTTGGGGTGGGATGAAAAAGTACATAAATTAGCCCATAATTTCTGTAACAAAGGTTATTTATTGTCCAGACTTCCAATGCCTTTCCTACCAAGTTTACAGCAAAGCCATCGACTCACACCTAAAATTTCTGAAAAGCACTACATTTTCCTAACTTTGTTTTCCCAGACATATATATTGTCACTTTACTTACGTTGTCAGGAACAGCCAAATTTAGTGCAAGATTATGAAACTCACAGAAAGACAATGTGGGAGGAACAATGATGGGTTTTTTCCCTCCCCAGCATACTGTACTAAGTCTGATAAGGGGCTACTTCTCACAATAAAGAAATGCCTCTTCATTTACAAAGGTTTGGGAAGCCTGGCACATGGAGGGCGCACAGACCTAGAGTTTATGCTAAACAAGGGTCACATCACTCCAGCTGACCCCAGCTCATCAAGCATAGTATTTTGCTTCTGGCAACTTCTCAGTCAAGCAAACCTCTCATACTGTTTACATTCCCATCCTGAAGTGGTTATTAACATCATTCTAAATGCAGACACAGGAAACAATCACCACTTTCTTTTTTGACTTCTGGCAATGGTCAAATTTTGAAAATATCCTGCCATTTTTAAGTCTAATTTCTAACTGGTTTCTTTTTTTAGTTCAAATATGTTCATCACATATTGTTATGTAATTAACAGTAGAAACCCCTATGGGTGATATTCAAGACTAAAAGGTGACTGAGGCAAGGCACAGACTAGCTCTGAAGGGAAAAGCCAACCGAAAGAGAGTGGATGAAAGATAAATGAGCACCGTTGGACTTGAGCGATACGCCTGTAGTGGGGACCTGAGAAGGGTTAGGCTTCCTCGAATCCTATCCTACTAGCTCTCATCAGGTAAGAAGTCTCAAGTCTAGGCAGCAGGAGGTGGCATCAAGGCCCAAAGCTTCATGTCAGAAATCTCAGGAGTAGAATATGGGACTCTGGGAGCCCCATAAACCCCCCAGGCATTCCAAACAAACCGCAGACCACACTCTCCCTCCACAGCTCACCCAAGGGTGGAAGCTACAACTGTTTGCCAACCCAAAGAAGATGCGCACCAAGCAGGAATGTTTGCTTGTCCAGTGGTCAAGTTCTGCTTTCTGAAGAATTTGTTGAGCGTCTCTAGGTAATACACTCACTAACTCTAAGGTTCTGGACCTAAGGCATGCAGTCAGAGCTATAGGACTAACAGGTCCAGGGCTCAGCCTGGTGCACTCCCGTGAAAAGGACAATGGAGACCTTCACATGGCACATGCACTCCCTGTGTCTGCCCCCCCAAGGGAGGACCTGTAGGGCATTTAGGCTCCTAAACATGGTCGATAAAAATCACCTCACACCTTTCCCTAACTATCAGCCAGACCCCCCATCATCTTCTTAATTTGGTGCTAAATGACTTACATGAGGACTTTTTTAACTTCCATCTTCTAGACTCAGTTATGGCTCATGAGTAAATCATATAACTTTATGTAAATCTTCATGAGTAAATCTTTATGACTTTTTAACTGTAAGACTGTACAGTTAAAGGAAAAAACATTTGTAGGATTAAAAAAATCGTGGGAAGATAGGTAGCTGCCTGACAGTAGGGTTCCCTTTCCATTCTGTGGCAAAGATAAAAATAATGGCGGAGGCCAGAAAACACATCTGTTTCCCTCCTTTAAGCTTTTAGTCTCTCTCTAATGCCTTGGGGAAAAAAGGAAAGAAAAAAGGCTTTTCTTTCAATTCTATTTTGAGATTCTCTTTAGTGTGATCTTGAAAAGCATTTCAAAGACTTCCATATGATAGAGCCATAGCAAAAGGTTGGGTCCTTTCAAATGAACTGTCCTTTGTCGACAGTGTTTTCTAACTCATGGGGGTCTGCCTTTTGATTCCAGATCTTTTCCTCTCCCCTTTCTGAATGGCAGGCTGAACTCAGGGCCCAAAAACATTGGGCGTTCAGATGCCTGGGTTTCATTCCTGAGTGAGCCATTAGTGTAGGCAGCATGGGGAGTCTGTTCACTCACTTGTTCTGTACAAAGGAGTCTTCCATACAATGGGAGGGGATAATAGCATTGGCTCCGGCAACTCCTCAGGAGTTTCGGGAAGCAAAATTAATTAACATTAGTACTCTCAAGACATAAAGAGCTATTTAAGTATAAATCTTAATTATCATGACAAGTATGAGTCTATGGCAGAACCAGACTTCACAGTTATTTGAGGCAGAAAAGCAGGTAGAATGTTCCTTTCACTCCCAGGACAAGAAATGGGTACTGACAAATGGCCTGAGGGGCAAC